AAAAATGATGAGAAATGGAAAAATGGAAATAAAGTCTTTGTAAATAGGGAAGGGTGGAGGGCATGAAGGGAGGGCTAGGAATGGGGCAAAAATAAGAACCCAGATGCATTATATAAAGGTACAATTCCCAATGAGTAATGTAATTGTGTTGTATACCTACAATGTACCCCTAAAAGAATTTAATACAAAAAAAATATTTTCATGGGGCCGGGGATATAGCTCAGCAGCATAGTGCCTGCCTAGCAAGTGCAAGGCCCTGAGTTCGATTCCTGGTACAGAAAAATTTTAATGAAAATTAAAAGATAATCTACAGAATAAAAGATAAAATACAAATCTATTAAATGTCATGTATTCAGAATATATAAAGAATCTGTACAACTTAATAGGAAGAAAGTGAGCAATTATTTATTTAAAATGAGTAAATGATTTGAATAGAAACTCAGTAGAGAAGATATATAGATGAAAAATAAGCACATGCAAAACATAAGCAATGTCGTAAACCAGGGATATACAAAATCACAATGAGATATTACATACTTACTAAACTGGCAAAAATTGAAAAGGTTAAAATTACCAAAGGTTTAGAAGAATGTGAGGCAAATTTGAACACTTATACACTGAATTCAGAAGTACATTATCTTGAACAGCATTTTAGAAAACAGTTTTGACATCTCTTGTAAAGATATATATCTTATATATATATGTATATTATACTGACTCCACAGTCCAGTAATTCCATTTTTATCTACCCAAGAGACAAGAAAGCAAGTGTCCATGCAGATATTTGTATGAAAATATTCACAGAAACTTTCTTCATGTTAGCCCAAAATAGAAAAAATACAAATATCTATCAACAGAAGCATGGGGTAAGAAAAGTGTGATTATTTTCCTACAGTAGAGCACTATTCAGTAATAAAGAAGGAATAAGGCACAGATACTTGCAACAGCATCAGTAAATCTCAAACTAAGTGAGAAAAGACAAACACAAATACTATGAGTTCATTTTCCTTTTGGTTAAATTTGAGAAAAGCAAAACTGTAATGATACTCAGCAAATCAGTGTTTGCCCATAGCCAGGAGTTTAGGGCAGTGAATTGGCTGCAAATAAATAGCTAGATATTTTGATATTGGAGAAAAGTTCTATATGTGGATGTTTGTGGGTTGTGCTATTGTATAAAATTGTCAGATTCATCCAATTGGACACAAAATTGGTGAACTTTATTATATGTAAATCAACACTGACACAACAAAAAGAAATGAGAAGATCTCTTAAACAATTTTATTTAAAAAGGTGAAATTAAACATTTTTTGTAGTAAAAAGAGGTTCTTAACCAAATGATTTTCTGTTTATATGTGTGTTTGTAATGGTTCTCCAGAGAAACCAAGATAACAGGATGTGAAGAAAGAGAGTGGGCTGATTAACTGCTTAAATTGTGGAGCGTTGGCCAGTTCAAAACTTGCAGGGTGGGACAATAGGCTGGAGACTCAGGCCAGAGCCACGATTCAAGTCCAAAGGCAGTTTGCTGCCAGAATTCCCTCTTCTTCCAGGAGGTCAGTCAGTTTTAATCAAGGCCTTCAAGTGATTGCCTGAGACCCACACTCATAATGAAAGATAACATTAAAGTTAATTGATTTAAATGTGAATCTCATCTAAAAATACCTCCATAGAAACATCTAGAATAATATTTGGCCAGATATCTGGGTACCATAGTCTAGCCATATTGACACATAAAATTAACAATCCCAGTAAACAATCTATAAAGTTCTACTATGCAGGAAGTCATTTCTTCCTCATACTAAACCAGTTAGATAGAAGTTGTAATTTCTACCATTTGGAGACAAGCAACTAGAATTCCAAGAAGAGTCTCAATTCCTCATAGACAGCAAGGAATGCTCTAGAATTCAAGGAAGTTACCCAGTCTCCAATTGCATGCTCTTTTTTTTTTGGTACCAAGGATCGAACTTAGGACCTTGCACTTTTGTGTGAGGCAGGCACGGTGCCACTGAGCTAAATCCCCAGACCAATTGCATGCTCTTTTGACCATAGTATATGAGAGGGAGACAATAAGAATAAAGAACTAAATATACCCTTTGTTCCTTATGAAAACTCCCCTGGTACTTTTCCAGCCCAAGACATTTAAGGACTATGCGATTTTTTATGTTCACTTTTAGAGTTAGCTAAAATCTATGATATATTTTATAAAGACTTACTTCACTTTTATCCCACGAGAAGACAATGTTAACAAACCAGCAAACCACTGATTGAAGAGAGGCAGAAAGAAAATATCATCTGAAAGTGAAATTCTACTTGTTTTGTCCTGGTATTTATTTCAAAAACAGTATTGTGAAAGGGGTGGGTGAAAGCTAAGGCTTCATAAAAACCTGCCAACAGATGTAGGAAAGGATAAACATAAGTAAATGAAAAAATTTCACAAAGTGATAAATTCCGGGTCATTCAAACTATTTACATTTTTCCTCATCAACTAACAAATAGAATATCAAACTAGGGCCGGGGATTTAGCTCAGTGGTTCTAGTGCCTGCCGCGCAAGTGCAAGGTCCCGAGTTTGATCCCCGGTGCCAAAAAAAAAAAAAAACACTCTTTAAAAAATAAATAAATAAAATAAAATAAATAAAAATAAAAAAGAATATCAAACTAATTTCATAACTTTTTATCCTATATTTTCAATTTAAAGAGAGAAATTTCCTCTTCAGTGTAAACAAAAAGCTTATTCATTTCTATGTAATTTTAAATTAATTTTGGACCTGTATGAAGAGTCATTTGTCAAAGCCCCATTAAAAGGACACCCTTATGAGAAAGAGGCAAGAAATCTTTTAGGTGTTACCTTTCTTCTGCCACCTAGCTGGTCAGCTGGCCTTGGAGAGAGCAAACTCAGCACCTTGGAACTACGAAATCAGTATAATACCAGCTGCACAAGAATGGAGAGAGATGAATGCATTAATAAGCATCTAAGCAATTGGAGATCTGGCATCAAAGCATTAGTAATTATGTCCTGTGCTGCTTGGACAAGGTTCCCCAGGCTTCTCAGGGAGGCCTTCTAATGGCTGCAGTCTCAGTGCCCTTCAACCCAGTCTGAGTCCTAACTGCCTGTTAAGGAAGTCTCTGCACTTGCATTCCAACAAGGGATCTTGGTCAAGCATGAGACAAAAGGAACTGTGCCAACTTCTGTGTCTCTGATGCCACCTCTTAAAGGTTATTATGCCCAGAAAAACTCAAGAAGCAACAGCAAAATTGTTTATGTATAGACAAAGATTTCTGTTTCCTGATATACCCAAAATAGTATTAAAAGAATACCAACACAAGGACCTGTTCCAAAACAGAATATTAACAGTCACCTGGTGACAAGCAAGAAGCCAGACTTTATCAGCAATATGAACAATAATAACCAGTTACCCTATATAGTGAATGTTTATTCAAGGCTCAAAATGAACATTATGTCTTTTAATCCATTCACCAGCTTATGAGGTAGGTGTTATTATTCCTACCTTACAGATAAGAAACTGACTAGAGTGCACAAAAGCTAAGAAAATTCAAGGAATAGAGTTAGGATTTGAGCCTACACCAAAGGGAAAGACCATGTAAACGTCATCTTTTAGCACCACCATGTGCACAATGTAAAAGCATGAATATGAATTTCTCAAAAACCATGGAGGGAACAAGTTGTAGCTAGAAGAGGATGTGAGAAGTAGAAGAATCTGGCTTGTTTTTATCTTGAGTTCCAGATCCCAAATCATGGCACTAAAAAGCAAGACCTGAAGGCAGAACAAGGATTAGATGCTAGACATAAGAGGCACTTCCTTTCCCCTCTCAGCATGCCACATTACCCCCAAAACTTATTCTACAAGCAGCTTTCATTTCCGGCCAGACCTTTCAATCATCCACAGTTCTTAATACAATTATAAATTAGTATATCCTTTATGCACAGCTTCCTGTTGGAAATTTATTGGAGCTAAGTAGGTGGGTTAGGCAGCAAGAAATCACTAAAGAGAAAAGGTGGCATGTGGGTGGATGGAGGTCACTGGAAAAAAATCAGAACTATATTTGTACTTTCTTGGAAAAAGTGACTAAGTAAAATTAGTGTGATTATTTGAAGTAGTCAGTCATTCTGAACTTCGTAAAAAGAGCAGAATGATTTTATTTTTCTCCTACTCCAAGGCATTTTATAGCAATCCAAAAGGTTTTGCCAGAGGGAAGTGAGTTGCTATAATCTCTAAAAAGAGTTTTGGAAGGATCAAAGCACACTTTAAAAAAGTACAGGGGTGGTAGAGTCTAAAGAAAAATTCAGATATTTATTCTTATTTGACTCATCATATGCATGCATGGCAAAAACATACATGCGGGGGCAGAGATTGTAAGGCAAAATTTGATAGGAAACAAACATAAAATGCTTCACCTTTTAAAATTATCTCAGCATTTTCTTTCCTGCTGACCTCTGGAGTTGAGTGAGCCACAGTGGGGTGGACAGGACAGTAATCTGAAGCTTCTCCTCAGCAATGATCCATCATAAGTGAAGAAAGCAGGGGTCACCTCTCTCTCACCCATTGACAAGACTCATGCAGGTAGCACATGATAAGATGCTCAGCTATTAGGGGGAAGAAAAGGACACTAGAGGCTGATACTTAAAAGAGTCTCAAGTCTGATGACAGGATTTTGTTATCTTCACCATATACAAAGGCTTAGTCTCCAAATCTGATTTCAAGAAAAATAAAGGAACCTACACATGTTTTCTAGAGTTGGTGGAATAAAGTACCAGAAACTGGAAGTGCAAAATAAAGATATAGCAGGCTACGTTCTCTGAACAATTTAGGGGAGATTCCTCCCCTGCTTCTTCCAGCTTTTGCAAGAAGGCATTGCTTTTTGGCCTTCTTGGGTTTCCAGCTTCCCCAATCCACCCTCCGTTTGTCTGTGTATAGTGTTTTCCTTTCCTTAGACAACTGTCATATTAGACTAGGACTCATCCTATTGACCTCATCTTAACTAAATTACATCCAGAGAGGCCCTATTTCCAAGTAAAATCACATTTACAAACATTAGGGGACTAGAACTTCAATATCTTTTATGGGGAACACAACTCAACCCATGGGAGAGCCTTGGCAGCTCAGGTACAATTCTGCTCATTCATTCAATCTGCAAGAAGAAAATGCCTGAGCTCTGTCTTTCTTCTCCAGAAGGAGAGCCACAAAGCAGTGGAGGGTATCAGGAAATGTCCAAGATGGAATGGTAAGACCAAATTTCAGGAGGAAAGGGCAAGGAGGGTCAGGTAGGTGTGGTAACTGAACTCAAGAAATATCAGTTTGATGCTACTAGAATTCAAAGAAAGGGAGTAACTGGAAGTATCAATTCTCAGGAAGGTTCGGTTGATAAGATTTGAAAAACAACAGTGGAAGAGTTGTACTTTTGCTCATATTCAGCCCCAAATTATATAATTTCAATGCAAATTTTACAACATTTCTTATGAAGGTTGATATTTTCCCATTAAAATACAGCTGTGTATATACTCCTAAAATCTCTAAGACTGTTAAGGTTCATTTATTTTAGAATAAATGGACCAGAAAAGATAAATTACCTAAATAAAGGTGCTAAATTGTCGGATATTTTAAAATAGATTCATTTCTTAATGATAAGATAATTAAAATTAGCCTTCTACATATTGTTTCTTCTGGGAATATGTCTGGCTCAGCTAATTCAGACTTGACTTTATTTCAAGTGTATAGAAATGTTTGGCAAATATAACAGTTTTAAAATACAAAACTAATCTTAAAGGAAATATCAGGTCATAAGTGAAGGTGTAACTAAGAGTTGATGCCCCTGCTGCTTCTTTCTATTTGTAGTTTTCCTAATATGACCTTAGCTACTACTTCACAAAGAAATAGAAGTCACTACATTTAAACTCCTTTGGTTTCCCTCTTGCCCTCTCCCAAATTTCTCACTATTATATCCTTGTCCTTTCCTTCAATCTTGACTTCTGTTTTAGAAGAAGATAACAAGGTGTCAGTAAGGTACTCCTGATAACTTCAGACTTGCACACTGAGAATGAAATTGAGACAAATGCAATTAATGAGATTAGCCATCTGTACAAATACAAGAAATGTCCCTCAGGAATGAGTGACTAAAATGTTTCAGGAATATCCATCTGATCTCAGTGCCCTCAGTGCCCTCTAAGAATCATTAGCCTGTCTAGGACTCTAGTTAATCAACTGGATTCTGCAGACATGAGATTTGGAGTCTGACATTGGTTTAAATCCAAATTAAACTATTTCTTATGTAATTTTGTTCAATTTGTATGATTTTTCTCTGTCTCAGTTTTCTCCTACATAAAATACAGTAGGTAGTTCATACTTCACAAATAACTATAGGGATAAGTGAGGGAATTTACATAGAAAGAATTTATGTGTAGTGTCAATAAGAAGTGATGGTGATTGTGGTTATAATCATAGAAACAGCACTAATTGTGTTAGTAATTGCTTGACATTTTTTATCTTAATATACACCTAAGAACAATTGACATATGTAAAAATATGGTGTCAAATGACAGTTAGGACCCTCTGCTACACAGTTGTTCCCTACCAATGAGTCTAAATCAGCCAATTCTCTTGAAGATAAAATTCCCATGTAGACCTGTGGACTATCATGGCTCATTAATCATTAAAATCATCCAGTTAACTCTCAGTATTCTTATGCTTGTTTATCAACCAATCTGGTGCTTTTGATTTTACTTTTTCAGTAACTTTCTTATAGATCAAGACAGAAACATTATAGGCCTTTAGAGATGTACACTTCCTATTTACATGTTAAAAAATGGTATTCTTGTCTATATAAATATATTGTGTATTGAACTAGTAGAGTTCATTCCTGAGAACTTGTTTTTTTGTAAGGATATTGATAAAATCAAAGTTCTGCCTATTAAGAGCCAAAAATCTGGCCATAACTTAGCCTGACTTTGCTGAGGATCCAGCCCGATTTACAGGATGGCAAATCTGTGTCCTTATCTTCCAAGTGCACCAGAAGTTCTACTTATGTTCTACTTAGTTCTACTACTACTACTACTACTGCTACTACTACTACATGGTAAACTAAGTATACTTAGTTCTACTAAGTATAAGTTTTACTTAGGTTGTAATCCCCTCTCCCCTCCTCTTTCTTCTGTCCCATGATTTGCTCTCTTCCTCTCTTGTCCAAGTATTCTCCTTTGGTTCTACCATTACTTTCTTCTTCTCCTACTCTGGAAATTCTTTTCTTTACTAGTTTTCCTCTCAAAGTACTATTATCATATTTTTTTCTTTGCAAATCTTCTTTAAGGAATGAATAAGTATGGCTGATAAAATATACATCGAAAGAACATCCTCTTTCCTCAAAATATTTAAAATTATAGATAAAATTTTAAAAATTAAAAGTGCCTACTGAGTTCTAAAATAAAAAGAGAAACCTGTAGGTGTCATAAAAAAAAGGAAAATTCCACAGAGGTAAGCAAAACATTAGTTCACACTTGAAGTCTAAATTTTGGGCAAAGATAAAAACAGAAGGCTTAAGAATTCAGTTTTGCACACCAAAAATGGTAAAATTCTGAAACTTGCATGAGTATCACGTTCTAGAAAACAAAGTTGGGCAAAAAGTAAAAAAATATAAAGAGAATCCATTGCTATAAACAATAAATGACAGATGTATAAAATAAAA